ACTTTGTGAATGGATCCACAATGTGATCTGCTGGTAGCCCATGCCAGAGAGTTAAGACATTCTATGAAAATGAATGTTTCCAGTATATTTATTATCAATAATATTTAGAATATTAGATTAGAAACAATTTGGGGAATCTTGCACCATGCTGAAGTGGAACAGGGAAGGCAAAGTGAGAATCATACAAAAGTAAGTTTTGTATTTCCTGATAGCTGTTTGCAAGAGTTTGTAAATGTTATGCAACTTGGCCAGGGTATGACCAAAACAAGGTTGTTGGTTTAATTACTTACTATTTGATTTCCTGTTTTTAAAGTTTGTTTGTTACAAAAGTGGTAAGACTGTTGAAAACCGAAATATTTGAATGAACTCTGGATCACAATTCTGTTCAGAGCACAATTCTGGCATAGGTTCAAATGACAGTTGAACCTCTACGTTCATTTTCATATCATGAGATATCTTCCTTGAAGACTGCAATCTCAGAATGCATGTTGGTGTGCACATTCTGGACAACATTTTGCATTGCAATGACATACCCAGCTGAAGCCCCTACACCCAGCTCAAGCCCTACAAGGGGACTGGAGTAAGCAAGGCCTCTGGAACATGGTGTTTTAACTGTTTCATTTTGCAGATTTATAATTTTATACACCAAAATCCCCTTAGCAGTCAGGCTTTCTAAATTGGGTATTTCTAACACTACCAAACTGAGGGCCAAATACTTCCAGTATAATATATAGATCTAGCAGTAGGTCAAGCATCCTTGTAGATATGTGTTCCAGGAAAGGCTGAAATTAGACATGTATTTTAAAGTGCTTTAATCGTCCCTGGGAGATCTTTTCCCACTTTACTTAAGGTGCATTACCTGTGTTTCCTGATTATCCCTTTTCCGCTTCAGATTTAATCATATTCCCTTAGATAGTGCAGAAGACTGTCTGCCACAGGTGTATCTGAGATGCTTGCCCATGCTTCCTTACAGTCTAGTCCAGTCTGCTGCCATTTCATTCATAATACCGCCTTCTGTATTCTAGTAGTGAAAGTCATGTCAATTTCACTGATAACTTTGTTAGGTTTTGTTTTGCTGCCTCCTCCTCACAGGCTCACAATTGGTTTTGTTTTGCTGTCTACTCCTCACAGGCTGCAGAAAGCCCTTTGAATCACACAGACAAAATCATACCTTTGAATTTCATAATGGAGTAACTACTAAAGGTGTGCAATTTCCCTCTCTCAGTATTTTTCAGTTCAGGTCTATTGGACCCGAAAAGTTCAGGATTCCTGAAAAAACCTGGATCCCAATACCAGTAAAGTATTCAGATCTGGGATTTTTGGGAAACCCCGATTTTTTTGGGGGTCCAATAGACCTGAAGCAAAAAATACCAAGAAAAAAAAAGCAGTGGCAAAGCCACTAAAACCAGCTGATAGAGAGCTCAGCTGGGGCTCTTTTGGGTGGTCTCTTTAAACCACACTGTCCAACAAAGCCTGCCCAGGAGCCAATCCGGCACAGAGAACTCTCCCCACAGGTTCTGCTGAGCAGCCCGGTTTAGACCAGTCTGCCCAACAGAGCCTGCCACGCAGCTGATCCTGGCTGTGCTGGGGTTCTGCTAGGCAACCCAGTTTTGTCAGTAATTCCTGAATACATCTGGGTTTTTTTGGGGTGGGGTGGGGATTTTTTCGCTTCACCCAAAAAATCGTGGATACATTTGGGGAGCTGAAATATATTCAAAAAATACCAGTAAGGCATTTTTCAGGTATACTTTTGGTTTGGGTAGACCTGAATGCACACCCCTAGCAACTACTGTGCCTCTTTAGTCCTAACACGTATACGCTTCCTTCCTTGAATGCTTCCTTGAGAGTGGGAGTTGTGCCGCCTGTGCTCAAGGATGCAGTGATTAGGCCTGTTTTGAAAAATCCATCCCTGAGCCCTACTGTGTTAGAAAATTTCTGGCCAATCTTGAATCTGCCATTCTTGCACAAGATGCTAAAGCAGGTTGCTGCCTCTCAGTTCCAGGGGCTCTTGGAAGAGACTGATTTTTCTGGACCCATTTCAATCTGGCTTCAGGCCAGGATTTGGAATAGAGACTGCCTTTAGTTGCCTCAGGCCCCTGCCACATGGCAGAAAAAAACACGGCCAAAGTGCGGCTTTTTAGAGCCGTGCCAAAAGAGACACGCGGCAGTGGGATCACACAGATCCCCTGAGCTGCCACACAGTTGCTCCCCGGCCCGATCAGATGCCGGGGAGGAAGCCACTGACGGGAGACTGAGGTCGCCAGCTGCGCATGTGCAGTTTGGCCAGGAGCCTTGAATGTTCTCGACGACGGCCGCGCTGGCGATCCCATGGCCGCGCTTGCTGCGGTGTTTCAGGTAAGTCCTTCTCTTTACTTGGGTTTTTTTTGCTCCACAGCATTGGGCAGTAGGGAACTGATCAGGGACGGGTGCGCGCCGATTCCCAGATGTTGCAGTGAGATCGCACCCATTTGCTGCGCCCCCGATCCATCCCTCTTCCGGCCCAAAACCTCCCATGTGACCGGGGCCTTAGTTGATTACCTCTGCTGAGAACAAGATGGGGGAGTGTGAACCCTGCTAGTTCTGCTGGATCTCTCAGCGACCTTTGATAGTATCAACCATAGTATCTTACCGAGCTAATGGACATCATGCTGCGGTGGTCTGAGTCCTCCCTGGGGAGTGTCGGTCTTAGAAAATAGTGCTGGGGGATTCCTGCTCTACCCCATGGTCGTTGACCTGTGGTGTGCTGCAGGGTCCCCCCCCCCATGCTATTTAATCCCTTGATGAAGCCACTGGGAGAAGTCATCAGGAGGTTTGGGCTGCAGTGTCACCAGTATGTGGATGATACCCAGCTCTAGCTTTCTTTTCCACCTAATTCTAAGGAAGCTGTTGACATTCTGAACTGGTGTGTGGAGCCGTTAATGGGCTGGATGAGGATGAACAAATGGAAACTTAATCCTGACAAGACAGAGGTTCTCTGGGTTAGTAGAAAGGTAGACCAGTGACTTCAAATCTCCCGTCTTTGATGGGGTTATACTCCCCTTGAAAAGCCAGGTTCACAGCTTGGGAGTGCTGCTCAACACAGTGGTCACGTTCGAAAACCAGGTGGCCCCTGTGGATTGGAGTGTATTTGCCCAGATCTGGGTGGGGTGTCAACAGCATCTGTTGTTGGGTCAGTCAGATCTAGCCGTGATCCATACCTCAGTTATATCTAAACTGGACTATTGCAATGAGCCAGGGGTCATTTGGGGGGGGACGCGGGGGGTTGGGAGTGCTGCTCAACACAGTGGTCACTTTCGAAAACCAGGTGGCCTCTGTGGATTGGAGTGTATTTGCCCAGCTCTGGGTGGGGTATCAACTGCATCTGTTGTTGGGTCAGTCAGATATAGCCGTGATCCATACCTCAGTTATATCTAAACTGGACTATTGCAATGAGCTCTAATTGGGGCGATCCTTGAAGAGTGTTCGGAGGCTGCAGCTAGTACAGACTATTTGGTTGGGGCCAACTATCAGGGGTATATGCTCCCAGTACTACAGCAATTACACTGTCTACCGATCTGCTCCCAGGCCCAATTCAAGGTGTTGGTTTTGTCCTTTAAAGCTCTATTTGGCTTGGAATCAGGGTATCTGAAGGACTATCTTTTTCCATAGATTCCTACCTGAGAATTAAGATCACATGGAAATACCCTTGTGACTGCTCCACCAATTAAGGATGGTCAGTCAGTGGGCATGGAAGCAGGGGCCTTTTCTGTGGCAGCCACACAATTGTGGAACAACCTCTCCAGGGAGGTGTGCCTGGCCCACCTCATCGTCAATCTTCAGGAGGCAGCTGAAGACAGTAGGCCTGCATTTTGATTTAGCTTTCATCATTGGCAGTCCTAATTGGAGTTTTTAAACCGTGACTTTTATGGGTTTTTGAAAACAATATTTTATCAATATTGTAAGTCTCCTGGAATCCCACGGGGAAAAGGGTGGCTAATAAATGTTTTAAATAAACAAATTTTAAAAATCCAGCCACAGGTATGAATTCAAAATTGAGGCTCCACCATGTAATCATGCTGTGAATATGAATTCCTGGAGGGTAGCCGTGTTAGGCACAGCACAATTAAATACGGGTCCCTATTGGGTTGTGAAAATAAGAAGCAGGAGACTGACCAGATATGAAGGTGCACAGAGAGTTTATAAAGGGGAATACAGACAGATATTTACCAAATCCCTTAAACAAACTTAATTTAAGAGCTGAATTCCATCCTAGCTAACTAAGCAGAGAGCTATTATACTGAACTCTAGCCAAAACCTAACAAGGCGATGCAATCTCTCACAAGACCTGAATGAGTAACATCTGGTAGAAGCACCTGTCTGCAGTCACATGATTGCTAGCCTGACAGATAGATTTGACAGTCAGATCAAACTTATCTACAGTAACTGCTTGCTACCTTTTACATTTTGACCCATATCTCAATAGTCCCCTGGTAGGGTAAAGACGAACAGAATTTGTTCCAGCATAACCTTTGGTAAGTCAGCGCTCACTCCATCAGCCACACCAAACGAATCACGATCCATAAATGCTTATGCTGGACTCCTGTTTAACTGCACTGTGAGTTAGGAGCGAGGTTACGCTAAAGGATCCCGCACAATTCCCACGTTTTGGAACACCCCACGCTAACACCTCGGGGGAGATTTCTCTCATCCCTTCGTCGTCCCAGGTTTCGGGAAGCCGTCCCTTTCCCGCTCGAGGCGAAGGCCTGACGAAGCGCCACCCTGGTGCTGCGGGCCCAGCCTCTGAGCCGCGCCTTCCTCCTCCGTTCCTTTCGCTTGCTCTTCGCTTCCCGCTGTCATCGAGGCCTGGGCGGCCAGGCAGCCGGAGGAGGAGGCGGAGGAGGAAGCGGGCGGGGAGCAGAGCGCCAGTGGGGCGAGAAGCAGAATCAAAACAAGCGAGACACGCCTTTTCCCGTGCCTGCGCTCCTTCCCGCGGCCTGGCGGCTGTGGTGTGTGCAGGCGACTGGGCGGGAGGAGGGGAGAGAAGAGCTCGCTCGCTCCTCCGCTGCCGCCTGACAATGGGGCTGCACTAAGGCACGCTCGGTGGGGTGGTGGTAGTGGGAGCAGCCGCCGCGGGGAAAGCAGCCACAGCCGCCACCGCCGTCAGCTTCCTGGTGCGACCCACTCCTCCTCCTCCTCCTCCTCCCTCGGCGATGCCGAACCAGAAAAGCAACAAGGGCAAGAAGAACAAGCGCGCTAACAGCAGCGGGGACGAGCAGGAAAATGGAGCCCTGGCAGCGGCGGGGGCAGCGGGCGCCGGAGGAGCTCTGGCCGCCGTGGCCGCGGCGGGAGGGAGCGGGCCGGCGGCAGCCGCAGGAGGCACTGGAAGCTCCGGGGGAGCGGCGGCGGCGACAGGCTCGGCTTCGGCCGACGCCAGGAACGGTAAGGCGGAGGGGAGAAGAGGAGGAAAGGGGAGGGCCTGGCCGGGCAGGAGATGCAGCGTGCGGGCCGCCTAACTTCGTCCTCGCTCCCTCTGCCTTCCTGCTCGTAAAGCTGCCCGGGCCCTCGATGGCGCAGCAGCTCGAAGGATGCCAGGGGGAGCTGGGCAGGAAGGGACGCGCGGGCTTCCTCCTGCCGAGAGTTTGGCCGTCAGTGTGTGTGCGCGGCCTGCTGGGGGCTTCTTGGCTGGGACACTGTTGCTTACCGCGGCAAGCGAGGGAGATTGCAAACGCAGATTTCCCCCCAAACAGAGCTTGACAAGCGTACGGTGCCTCTGATTGTGGAGGAGGAGGAGGAGAATCCAGGCCATGCGTTTCCCACACCTTCAGAAGGGTCAGTCTGGGGCCCCGGGTTTTACAGGTGGCCCTAGGCAACGAGCTAAAAGTGTTTAGGTTGCGACACTGCAGGGAACCAGCACGGTCGGGCCTGGGGTACCCTACTCAAATCCTGCTTCAGACCTAGAACTGAGCGGCCTGTATGTAAAGAGAGAGAGGAAGTGAGCACATCAAAATATGTCATAGCGTTTTTTTAAAAAAATAACACCACAAACCTCTAGTCTGTAGCAGCTGGCTTTTGTCCTGTTGTAGCCAAAATAATTTTATATAAAATTTGCTCTGGTAATGGTGAAGTGGTACTGCAAGTGGCGGAGATGGTACAGAGCTTGCTGGTTCACTGGTCTGGTCCCTCACTGTGAACCAGCTTGATATGTACATGTGTTCAGTCTTGTTTCTTCCAGCTATAATAAAGCACATTGAGGAGTTCTTCCTCTCTGTTTCCTCACCTGGTTTCATCCCCTTCTCCTCATGTATGTGCCGGAGGGAAGGAGGAAATGTTATGTCTACTGACATCAGCAACAACCATGTGCGTGTCCTTTCCCGTGGCTTTATGAGTCCCTGAGGCACCTTTGCTTTCTTGGTGCTGTTTTTGGATATGACGCACCTTTTGGAGGGGAACACACATGTCCTGCTTTTACAAATGATACCATGGGTTGAAAACTCACCTCGCAGAAGTCTGTATGTATTTTCACAAGGCAGTAGTGGCCAAAGCAATGCTTTGGCTCCTTTCAAACGTGTGCAAGTGGATGTGCTAAACAGAATTCTTTTTGTGAGACCTGCAAATGAAAACTTAGGAACCATTGCTGTAATAGTTTTCTAGTTGAGAATGGGTCTTTTTATTCCAGGCCCTTGTTTGAGAACTGTACTTCTAGTACTGGAGTAAATTGCGAGAGTTAAAAGTAAAGGGGCAAAATACACACTCTGTGTCTTACCTGTTACAGTAGACTTATCCCCAAATGCTCCAATTTATGAATACACTTCTTCAGCAAGTCACAACTTAAAAATTCTGCTTTCAGCTAGGAGTAACTTTCGGCACAGTGCCCTGCCCTCACTGATGAAACACAGCAACCAGATAGGTTGTACTAAATTTAGGACATGGATGCTGATGTTCAGCGCATTTGGTTGTGGCCTGATACTGTAGATGAATAGCTATTTTTGCATCTCTGTATGTTACCAGACCCAAGCTCCACCAAACCGAATGGCTCAAAAAAGAGCATGAAGAGGGTTTGAGAATGAGAAGGGGCAGCACAGGGATAGGTTGCCTTCTCATCTTACATGCTCTTAGTAGTAAATTTCCATACAAGAAATCAGGTGGATGGTGTGGTCCTTTGCCCACTTTGGACCTTCAGTCTCAATCACTTGTGCCAAACCACTGTGTTTTCAAAAGAAGCTGGTTTCTTTCTGATAATCTTTGTTGTGGTAGAATGCCAGCTGTTCTGGTACTAACACTGTGTCTGTTTCTGGAAATATTGGATTGAACTCCCAATTGGCCTTCAGGTTGCTTGGTGGGCATCAAACCATCGGAGGGAGGGAGGCTGTTACAGACTCTTGAGGCAGTTTTAAGAATTCCAGTTTGCATGTATAAGGCATCTAGTCCTCAGAGTAGCAAGTTTAAGCAGGTATACTCAGAAATAAGTCATACATTATCCAGTGGGGCTTATTTCCATGGAAGTGTCCTTAGAATTGGAGTCTCCTAGTGGCAGAGAGAAGCTTTTAAAGTATTCTATCAAAAAGTTTAGGAGGAGTGGTTACAAATGAAAAGAAGCCCAAATTTATTTGATTTTTGACTTTTAACGTTATGAACTAGAACATGTCTGTGTTTACTATTGGAATCCACCTGGACAAACTGTGTGTTAAGCTCCCTGTGTTTAACACGTGGTTTGTGGTTTTACAGACATTGTTAAAATGAAAAGATAAAAAGCACCACAGAGCGTGTGAGTATCTGTCTTATGGTTTCAGTTTATACCTGGATTTTGTATCAAGATTTTATGGGGCTTCCCTGATCTGGATAGCTGTGGCAAGCCCGATCTGATCAGATCTAGGAAACTAAGCAGGGTCGACTCTGGCAAGTACTTGGATGGGAGACCTCCTTGAAATGTCAGAGGTGGGAGGTGGGGGCAGGCTTTACTCAGTCACCTCTTTGAATATCTTCCAGGCCCCCAGTAGGGGTTAGTCACCAGAGATTGCCATGACTTCCAGGTACACACACACACTCACACACACACACACTCACAAATAAAAAAAAGATGTTGTGGGGCTAACTTTGATTAACTGGCTGCTAGTGGCTTTTATTTACCTTTTCGTACAATCCCGGTTGTCTCTTGTTGGTGAGGAGTTCCTGAGGCGTTGTTGATGAAAACTGCTTTCTTCCCATTTTCAACCCTTTCTTGCATTTCTGAATCGCTATGGTGCACTGTATGAAATGCTCAGTAGCGCTTCTTGCTTTGTCGCTTCCCCCCCTGCCCTTTTCTGCCGTGCATGCAATCTTCTTCTGAGAGTTTTTTAAAAAAATGTTCTATTGGGATTGCTATGGCACTGAAACAGGACCTCAAATTGGCGCCATTGAGATGCTTGGACTTCATTGAGACACACTGTCACTTGGAAATATCTGTTACACCAATCACTGAAGCCCAAAGCTGCCGCTGAAACCCGCTGTCCAGTGAGTTACTTCTGTCCTCCTTGTTTCAAGGTGACAGCAGTCACGAACGCATGTATCACAGTCTGTCTCAATGAAGTCAAGTCATCTCAATGAGGTCACTATTGCACTGATTTGCCGTCCTCTTTCAGTACCGTAGCGCTCCCAGTAGAACATTAAAAAACCCAAAAACCTTCCAGGGAAAATCGTGTGTGAGGTGAAAAAGGTGGGGAAAAAGTGGTGCAGTTTGAAATGGCCATAACGCTTCAGGGACAGCTCACTAATAGGAAGAAAATCACTTCCTTGATTTTCCAAGTGAAACCCCCTCTCCTGTCCCTATATCACTTTACAAGTTGAGGGGCCAATAATGAATACCATCCAGGTTAGAAAGGTAATGTGAAATGCATCATAAACAAAACTGCTCCATTCTTTGGAAGGCAGTTTCTGTATCCAGCCACTGCTGTGGTCTCGTGGGGGTAAAGGTTGTGACTACTGTAGCTAAAAACTATGTCCATTGGAAGAACTGGGTCTTTCTGTTTTTTAAAAATAGGGTTAAAACCCTTAAAGTGCTACCACTAAAAAGAAATGTATAAAGAAACATACAATAGAATATTTTAATGTGTCACTTAATTGATGCTGGATTGTTCCGAAATGTCTTTTTTCATAAACTTTTAAAATATCAGTTCATATTATAGAATTGATATGAAGATAATTGCAAAAAAAGTACACGTGGTTTTACATTAGAAATGGTTGTTAAAGTGCATGGAGAACATTGACTATTTTTCAGCAACATTTATTTGCATTATTCCATAATCAGTTCCTTCTGACATATCTGCTTCCTCATCATGGCTATTGTCCAGGTTTATTTTAAACCAATCTGGAATTGGCGATGGGTCAGCTCTCTTCTCACAAGCTTTGTTTCTATTTTGTAAATGGTGATTCAGATATACAGGTAGGTACATGACACCATTCTCTCAATCACTTATTTGAAAGCCTCCCTCCCCATTAGTTTGGTGCATGTGGAAAGATTCATTTTACATGAAGGGAACATTTGATTCTGAAGTGTTATAGACCCATCATGAGAGGGCTGTACCATTGTCTTGCTTTGGCAGGGTGCCTTGGAGCATTGTAAACTTGCAGAGACTTATTTAATTCCTTTGTGCCACATATGGTTGATATAAATCAGCATTCCAAAATGTTACATATCCCAGACAGGGACTCACTGGATATTGTGCCCATAAGCAGTTACTTGCAACTGGATTTTCTTGTGTTGAAAAGACAATCCAGTTGTGTTTGATAGCTGTAGTGCAGCATCCAGTAACGTGTGGTCACAAACTAGGCATAGCCTGTGGTCACACATGCTAAATAATCTACTTTCAGTCCACTTTCAGTCCACTTTCCAACTGGCAAAATCCAGTTGGAAAGTGGATTATTTAGTGTGTGTGACCGCAGCCTTAGTTTATTTGTTCCATCAGTAAAACAACCCCAGGTCTGCAAGGCTAATTTTATACAGAATGCATACAGTTCTGAAATTTTGAGTACTGTCATGTTTTTTATTGTACATATTGCAGAAAATATTTCATCACACCAATCAATCAATACACACATGTTCAAGTTTCTTACTTTACAGCTTCTGTTCTAGGAAATTTTTTGCTTCCCTTCCCTACAATTTAATGCTAGTTTCATCATGACATGCAAATTCAGCCCCTGAAATTGCTGCCTTGCATGCTTTCCAAAATAAGATAAGTCTACAGTTTGGGCCTAATCTAGTCTGGTTCTATATTTAACTCTTTAGAGGGATGATACAGTAAGCCGCTCAAGTGACTAAAAATTGTTGCATACATAATATTGCTCAGAACACCATGATAAATGACGTTTTATTTCCAAGGGTCTTGGATTGAGACTTTGTCCTCACCACTTCCAGTTTGTGTCTTTGAAAGATACACAAGACTTTTATGCCAGTATTTGTTTAA